ACTAGCCATGCTTTGTGACTTTTCATAATTTTGCTTAAAAAAGGGTTTCATGGTTCTTGGCATGAATACAAACAAAAGTTTATTATTTACATGGATGATAAAATAATTTGACAGCGAGAGGCACCATTTCTTTAAAATGCTTAATATTTTTTCATTCTAAAATTTTTAACCTACCTTTTTACCAGGAGAAGAAGGCTTAAAAGGGCTTCCAAGTAATTCTTTCTTCTCTACTTTTTTAACTGGTGGTAAAGTTTTCCCAAACAAATAAGGATTAGCATCAAAATATTCACTTGGGTAAAGATTTAACTTGAAAGGTGTCCCTTTAAGTAAACGATGATGTTCTTCATTCTCTTTCTGTAAATTAAAGAGTTTGAAATTATATAGCATAAATTACTCAAACTGATAGATGTAGAGTTGAATTTTCTCTTAAATTTTAATATAAGTATTCACATTTTTTAAAACATTCCTTTGTTATGTTCTGTTTTTATGATACAAAAGATATGCTTATTTATAACAAACACAACTATGATTGTTCATTTTGGATATAAATTTATTTGAAGTAGAGAGATCTATTTATCACCTGAACAAATCTATATTAATGATCTGGGTGATACAATGTAGTAAAAAAAGACTGGTCTTTAGTTCAAACCCTAACTCTGTCCTACTTTTTAGCATTTCTTGGGGACTCTGGGACCCTTTTAGTGTCATATTTTCTTCAACTGTCAGTGAGAATAATATCCACATACCCCCCACGCTGTTGTAAAGATTAAGTGTATAAGTGTATAAAGAACCTGGTATATGGTAGGCCCTCAATAAAAGTTTTTACTTCTAAGAATGAGAAATACTTACTTTTCATATTATAATATTTTTATATTACAATATTATTAGCTACCTCATACTCAAGCAAAATGAAGGTCATTTTTTCCCTCCTATATCACAATCTTCTCTATGGGACAATATAAAGCATAAAAATTACTGTTAATATAGCAGAGAAAGTTTTTCATGTTATGAAATATAGATTCAAAAGGCAACTATAAAGTTAATGCTGACATATTTTTTCACTTTTTTCAAATATGAAATCTAGTATTTCATCATTCGACAGAAAACTGAAAATGCTTGGTAAATGAATTCTAAAATAGTTAATTCAGGGAAGATGACTTTTCATTACTAAGAACTCTACTGTAACACTTTCAGAATTTTTCACTCTTTTTGGATTTTTCTCTTGCTTTTGCTTGTCTTCAGCCTATGGAATTTCACCCCTTTTTGGCGATCTCCTCTCCCCTCGCCCACACCACAATGGTACTAATAACATAACCATTCCATTTATTCTTCGGGGCAGTGTTTCTTAAATGTTCATTTTCGTGAATCACATCATAATTTAAATTACAAATTACTGAACTCTTCCCTCAGAGATTTCTGATTCTACTGGTCTGCTGTATAGCCCATTAATCTGCAGTCATATCAGTTACCCCAGGTGTTTCTAATACAGGTTATCATAAGGCAATGCTTTAAGAATCGCTTTTTACTAGAATACTGTATTTGTTTTACCAAAACCTACCCTAGAGTATTCAGTTGAGTTCTGATCAGCACATGTGTGTGAGGAAACTGATCAAAAGCAAAAAAAGATTAGCGGTAACAGTCTCCAGCTCTCACACAGAGCTGGGATGGGTGCTGGTTCCATCAGCTCTGCTAGAAAACATGATTCCCAGGGCGCCAGGTAGAGCACACAGAAAGGTCTTGCCTCAGTAATAAGGAAGAATTAGCCCTATATTGAGCATTGCTCCCATCCCACCTAACAAATCTTCAAAGAAGACCTGAAAAAAACCAAACTGTTTCCAACTAATTTAACTGCATCCCAGAACAAAGCCCAAGAATAGTTATGAGAATACAAAAATATATAACACTCAACAAGGTAAAATTCACAATGCCTAACATCCAGTCAAAACTACTAGTAATGCAAAGAGGTGGGAAAATATAACCCATAATAAGAAGAAAAATCAATCATTCAAAATCAACCAAGAACTGACACAGACATTAGAATTAGCAGAGGAAATTAAAACAATAATTATAACTGCATTCCATATGCTCATAAAGTTGAGACATGTAAGATATAAAAAAATTCTCAAATTGAATTTCTAGAACGCAAAATCACAATGTGAGAGATTTAAAATACACAGAATGGGACGTGGTTCCATAGTGTAGTGGTTAGTACATCTGCTTTACACGAACAGAAATACAACTAAAGACATACAAAAGAGGCCACCTCAAGACTGGTAATAGGGGCAGAGATGCAGAACTGGTCTGGTCCCACAATCGCATGTGGTGGTTTAGAATCAAGAGGGATATCTTGGCTGTGGAGGTCTCCTCAGAGGAGTGAGGGGGTCCCAGCTCCATAACAGGTTCCCCAGCCCGAGGTTAACAATGCTGGAGAGAGAGGTCCCCACAACTTCTGACTGTGAAAACCAGTGGAGTTTGTGGCTGAGTGAGACTGAGAGCTGCAGGCATCCCAGGCATTCTTGTTGGAGGGCCTATGCCTGTACTTACTCACTGACAAACACTTGCTCTGAGCTCCAGTGCTGGGGCAGTAACTTGAGGGGCAGCAGGGATATATACAGGGAGGAGCTAAATGGTCTGGCTTCAGGGCGAGGGCTGGAGTGGCAGCTTTCTTCCAGACAGAAGTGATAGTGGAAGCCACTATTCCTTTGCTGGGCCCTCCCCTCACTATTCCTTTGTTGGGCCCTCCCCTCACCTGCGTGCAAAGGCAGGTGGCCATCATATCTGAGTTTCTATCAACCTGGCTAACTCTGGTCACCCTATCCTGGTGATTCCCTGAGACCTTGCCCCAACCAACTTATGGGCCCACCCAAGCCGCTTCTGGTGGCTTTTTCATATACAAGGCCTATCTTGGCTCATGCTGTGGACTTTCCTAAAATCTCTCAAAAGTTCACAAAACCCAAACAAGCAGCATCTGGCCTCTGAACACCCCGTACCTCTTGCTGAGCAGCAACATGCCCAGAACTAGCAGCAGCTAGCCTCAATTTGTAACTTGGCCTCTCGAGGCATCTCAAAGCCCAGTATGGGTGGCGATCATATACAGATTGCTTGCTGGCTCATACCAGGTAACCCTGGGAGGGGAGGGGCTTCAGACCAAGCCAGAGCACTACCCGGGGCCACATCTGGGGACAACACACCCAGAGGACAGACTGGGTAGGCACCAGAGCTCTGCTAAAGTAAATTTTGCTCCATAGGGTCAGCCTCTATACAACAGCTCCTCTACTGCAGTCATTGGCCAGCTGTCACAACTAATCAGCCTGGAGGTGAAAACCTTCTAGTGATACGCAAACAGCAACCAAAGTTCAATTACAGAAGGAAGGCATACACATCCCATACAAGGTATACATTGAAGCACCCAGCTCAGGTGACCATGGAGACTGTGCCACTAGGCCCCAAAGGACACCTACTATATAAGGCCAGTAGATGTAGCAGCCCTACCTAATACACAGAAGCAAACATGGGGAGACAACCAAAATGAGGAGACATAGAAACATATCTGAAAAAAAAGAAAAGAATAAAGTGCCAGAAAAAAAGAAACTAAACAAAGTAGAGACAAGCAATCTATAGATGCAGAGTTCGAAACACTTGTTACAAGAATACTCAATGAACTTAGGGGAACAGTAGGTTAACTCAGTGAGAACTTTAATAAAGAGATAGAAAACATAATAATGGAGATAGAAGACATAAAAAATAACCAGTCAGAAATGAAGAATACAATAACCAAAATGAAGAATACCTTAGGAGGAATCAACAGTAGATTAGATAAAGCAGGGGATCTAATCGGTGATTTTGAAAGTAGCAGAAAACATCCAATCAGAAAAAAAGAATCCAAAAACATGAGGATAGTTTAAGGGGCCTCTGGGACAATATCAAGCATATTAATATTTGCATCATAGGGGTACCAGAAGGAGAAGAGAGAGCTCAAGGAGTTGAAAACCTATTTGAAGAAATAATGATGAGAAACTTCTTTAAGCTAACAAAGAAAAGAGACATACAAGCCCAGGAAGCACATAGAGTCTCAAACAAGATGAACCCAAAGAGGCCCACACCAAGACACAGGAAATAATTAAACTGACAAAAGTTAAAGACAAAGAGAATATTAAAAGCAACAAGAGAAAAGCAGTTAGTTACCTACAAGGGAGCTCCTATAAGACTGTAAGCTGATTCTCAACCGAAACTTGGCAGGCCAGAAGGGACTGGCAGGAAATATTCAAAGTGATGAAAAGCAAGGACCTACAACCAAGATTGCTCTGCTCAGCAAAGGTATCATTTAGAATTGAAGGACTGATAAAGAGCTCCCCAGACAAAAAAAAAGGGATAAAGGAGTTCATCAACAACAAACCAAGATTATGAGAAATGTTAGAAGGACTTCTTTAAGAAGAAGAAAGATATAAAATACGAATAATAAAATGGCAATAGTATCTATCAACAATTACTTTAAATGTAAATGGATTAAATCCTCCAATCAAGACACAGTGGGTAGCTAAATGAACAAGAAAACAAGACCCTTTATGCATCCTACAAAAGACTAACTTTAGATCAAAAGACACACACAGACTGAAAACAAAGGGATGAGAAAAGTTATTTCTTGAAAATGGAAACAAACAAAAAAGCTGGACAAAATAGAATTTAAATAAAGGCTATAACAAGAGACAAAGAAGGACCCAAGAATCCCACTTCTGAGTATTTATCCAAAGCAACCTAAAATACTAATTTGAAAAGACATATGCATCTAAATGTTCATTGTAGTATTACAATATGGAAGCAACCTAAGTGTCCAACAATAGATAAATGGATAAAGAAAAAGTGGTACATATATACAATGGAATATTACTCAGCTATAAAAAAAGAACGAAACCTTACCAGTTGCAACAACATAGACGGACCTAGAGGATATGCTAAGTGAAATATGTCAGACAGAGAAAGACAAGTAAGTACTATATGATTTCACTTACATGTGGAATCTAAAAAAAAACAAACAAAATAGAAACAAACTCATAGATACAAAGAATAAATTGATAGTTGCAAGAGGGGAGAGTGATAGGTAAAAAAGAGGTAGGGATTAAAATGTACAAACTGTTGGTTATAAAAACAATCACAGAGATGTAAAGTACAGCATAAGGAATACAGTCAATAACATTGTAATAGCTGTGTATGGTGTCAGATGGGCACTAGATTTATTGACATGATCACTTCCTAAGCTATATGAATGTTTAATCACTATGATGTACAACTGAAACTAATGTAATATTGTATTTCAACAGTAACTTTTTTCAAAAAAAAAAAGTTCATTTTGGAAAGAGCTAAGAAGATCTATAGCAAGACGTGGAAATCTAATATCAAAATGTAAAATTATCACAATTCATAAACATCGGTGTGCCACCACCCTACTAATACAAATAGATAAAACGAAACAAAGCATAATTAGATCACAAGTGAGGGAGTGATGTCAGAAACATGGCAGAGTGAGAGACATCCCCAGATGTCTCGCCTTGAAACCACAACAAGCTGAACATCTAAAACTCAACAAAAAATGCCCAAACTGCACACCAGCATGTCTAAGCATGGGATCTGCACATAAGAGCCACCACCGGTCAGAACCCCAGGTGTTGGGCGGTGGACTGGGAGAAATAAAGAAGCTTCCTCTCACAGCCAGAGCTCCCTGTAGGAGGAGGGAGTGGGGAGAAGGTGCGGCGAGTTCCCTGAACATCCCTGCCTGGGAGTGCTGTGAGCTCCACAGGCTGGCGGCAGTGCCCAGTCATCAGGACAGAAAGCAGAGAAGCAGGGACAGCAAAGAAGCAGGGACAGAAGAGAAGCGGGGATGGCGGATAAACAACAGTTGATTTTTACCAGTCGTGGTTGCAAAACCGAGGCTGAGCCACAGCCTGCATCCCCCAACCCAGAGGACCCCTCCCACCACATCCATAAACACTGCGGAGCCCCAGAGGAATCTGAGCAAACACTACCGAAACTGTCGCTAATGCTGACAGGGACTGAGACTGAGGGTAGCGAGCATGATTAAGCATCTATAAGGGGGAAAAAAGGCATTATTAAGGCTTTATATAAAGCAGAGATCCAAGAGGCTTAGATACTACCTACTGAAAACCAAAATAAAAACACCTTCTTTGTAACAGGCTAAAGAGAGATCTTTATATAATAAATCTTTCTGGATAAAAAGCAAAATACACTTTAATTAATGCCAAGGCAGAGAAATAGTCCATTAAACACCATGATCAACCAAGGTGACAAGGCATCTCAAAAAGAAAGAGAAAAATCTCCAGAAAATAAGCTTATAGACATAGAAATATGTGAGTTAAATGACAGAGATTATAAGTGAATTCTCTAAGTAAATTAATTGAGAAAGTTTGAAGATAGTTAAAATAGATTACCTTATAATTTAGTTTTGGTGCATCGTAGAAATCAGCAGAGTGTGAAAACTGTTTACCTATGGTAACATTTGCATAGCTGAGGGATGAAAAGAAGTAATAGTGATTTTGGGGTTAGGCAATTTTAAATTTTATTTTTTAAGTTCAAAGCAATCAATATCAACGTATTAAATATATCTTACCCATATCCAGTTCCTTTCTTTCCTGGGTTTGTATATAAATTCTTTCCAGGTGCCTCATATTTTTCTCTGGGTTTTGACTGTGCACTGAAGAATGGGATTGGTCCACCTATTGTTCCATAATAGCTTCCTAATCCAGATCTTAAATACAGTTAAAAAAAAAATGGCAAAATTTGTGTTATATACATTTTGCCGCAATTCATTAAAAAAAGAAAAAGATTGAAAAAGGAGCACAATGTATGCAATGGGATTGACTCGTCTAACTTTAGTGAGAAAAAACAACATTTATTAGTTTTCAATCCAATTTTCCCCATTTTTCATAAACAAATTTTGAGATTTTTTCATGTTTATGCTTTAGATATTTCATATAAATAAAACTTCATAATCTCTAGGAAGTTAAATTAGTTTCCATTAATTCAGTTAACTATAACAATAAATAGACCCTTTTCTGTTTTTGGATAAATTTCTAGGCACTTTATGGCAAGTCAGCTAAGAAATGGCTAATTCCTTCCGGCCAACCACTCACCAGAAACTATACTTTCAAAATGTATTAGTATTGTTTCCACTGTTAAAGGCAAACTGGATCTCATGGAATTTTGTTGATTTTCTTATTACTTTACTACAGAAAAAAATTAACAAAATAATCTTTTCTTCAAGTTTAATGCCAAATTTTCTGGGCCCACAGTATATAGTTAATCATTAAACCATTTATCATTCAGCAGTCTATTTTAACAAATATTTTCTTTAAAATTTTCATAATAAAAAGGATAACTAACGTTAGCAATAGTTGTAGTCTCTAATTTCCAACTTATCAATGAACAAGTTTTAATAATCAGAAAATGGTCTCCAATGCATATGAAATCTTATTATCAAAACTGGACACTGTTTATACATTTGAATTATAAATTTCAAAAACTAGAAAGACATCAACATTGATTACTTATTATCTCTGGCCTACAAATAAAGGTTCCATTAGGAGAAGATATTCATTTTCATTAATTAATATTTATGAATATGTCATAAAATTCTAAAATACAATAAAGAAATAAAGCAAAGACATCAGAGAAAAGGGCATAACCTAAATAGAATGTCATTTAATGCAAGCATTAAATATCAGTACATTTAAAATTTATTAAATGCCTATGGTTCCATCATTTGGTGTCGAATAAGTACCAGTATGAAGGCTTCTTATTTATACCACCACTCTCTCTTTTTGGAAACACTTTCTGTATCCCACTAAATTACAGATGTTTTTCACATATTTGTGAGCTTTAAAAAGAAAGGAAAACAAGTCTAACTATAAAACTGTTCATTACTTCTTGGCTGACAAACAAAAATAAGTATATTATAATCTAATGTATCATGGCAGCAATTCCCAAATATTACCACAAAAGGTTAAATAAAGATCATGGTAGGAAAAAATTAAGGTTAAATACATATGTTACATAAAGAAAATTAAGTAATGACCCCGAAAATGCATGTTTGAATTTTATCTGAGAAAATAAAGATTCTTCCCCCAAAAATAATAATAAAAATAAATAACTCAAACCTATCCAAAGTGTGAAAATGTAGAAAAAGATTAAACTATACTAAAAGAAGAAATTCCCACTCTTAATAAAAACTTAGTAATTTTGACTTAGGACATTGAAGCTTTACTAATTTCGAGAAATTACCACAAATAAGGACAATATTAACCCTCGACCAATTCTCATTTGTCATAAATTCTAAATTGAGAGATTGACGTTGAGTGTAAAGTAACACCATATTACAAAGCTTAGCTATATCATATGGTATAACGTAGGCTGTATGGTTTTATTTGTTTAATGATTAAAAAAATGAATCTTCACATTGACAACTGTTACAATTAAAATATTGTTAAACCCATGCATGTATCTTCACAATGATTTTTAAATAATGTTATCTTTGATAAATTATTTTCTTTATCAAAAAAAAGACTTCTCCTAATTTCACTTTTTTTTAGTTTCAATTTCACTTTTTTAATTCTTTGTAAAAGTTTTTTTAAAACAGAAATAGTCAAGAGCACAGATATGATATCCCAAGGTGATCTTTCTCCTAAACTGACTACTTTTGCCAGGTTTTTGATCAAATGTATTTTCATTATTTGGTTGGCCTTTATTACACATACTAATAGAGAACAGTGACATAGATAATCCAAGGTTTAAAGTGATAAAGAGAATCAATAAAAATTACTTGTCAACCTAAATCATCCAATATAACTGTCCCCACCTTAGACAAAACCTAAAAATCACAGTTTTAAAATGAATCATATATAAGTAAGTCCTGTGGAAAAATAATTTAGCTAGAGGAGAAAAAGGAGCAGGAGATGTATTTTAAGACTTTTCTCCTAAACACTTACGGCTTTTTATCTCCATTACTAGGGAGGAAGGCTTTGCCTAGATTTTTTTTGGCTTCTTCCATCATATGCCGTCTCCTCACTTGATTCAGACTTACGTAGCTTTCACCTTCAAATATCCTTACAAAATGGGGGTCAAAATAACCTGCCTGGAGATCTGACATTTCTTTGGATCCCCCAGGTAGCATCTGTTTATTTTTGCTTGCAGCTTCATTAAAGGGTCCTTTAAAAATAAATTAGGAATATCATAATTTTAAGCTACTAATAATTAAATAACATGAAAAATAACTTAGAAATGTTTCAAAATGTGATTTGAGACTTAAAACACTGTTTCGAAATGTCCACTGAAAGTTCTGTGTTAAAGGCTATGTTGACAATAAGACCTAAGAGATTTTCATTAAACATTTATTTCAGAGCTGGAAGAGACCTGAAAGGTTATCTAATCCAATGCTTCCCCATCTACATACTGGGAAACACTGCTTGTATGAGATGCCAATGAGTGAGTGAGTGAGTAAAACGAGAGAGAGAGAGAGAGAGAGAGAGAGAGAGAGAGAGAGAGAGAGAGAGAGAGAGAGAGAGAAAGGATGAGTGAGAGAGAGTAAAAAGAGAGAGAGAGAGAGAGAGAGAGAGAGAGAGAGAGAGAGAGAGAGAGTGTGTGTGTGTGTGTGTGTGTGTGTGTTTAGGTTAAAGAGAAGGGTGTTCCATATTCAGGCTGAAGCAGTTCCCCTCCTGGGTATATACTCAAGACACATGAGCGCCTATATCCACTAAAAGATGAACAAGAAATGTTCACAGCAACTTCATTCAAATAATCAAAAACAAGAAACAGCTCAAGGGTCCATCAACAGAACAGATAAATTGTGGTATATTGACACAGTGAAATACTAGTAGCCTTGTAATTTTTTAAAAGGCTGTTTTTGTGAATATTTAGAACTTCTAGTTAAGTTCAATTTGGGAAGTCCTTCAGTAATGTGAAGAATTTTTTGAAGTACAAACAGTGCTTAAATCAACTGGTTATTTAAATGTAAATCTGTGTCACTGATTTTTTTTTAACTTAAATTTTTGAAAAGTAATGTATTCACATGGCTTCAAATTTAACAGTATAAATATTTTTGCAATAAATCTTCCTGCACATTAGGCCACTCAGTTCCTCTTCCACAGATACTAGTTTTGTTTTCCAGAGAATGTTTACACATGTTCCAATAAATATTTTCATACATATTCTTCTCTATTTTTAATACTTACAATACTACATACACTATCTTGTACCTTGATTTTTTTATTTAATAATTTATCTTAAAGATGTTTTATATCAATGTATTCTTTCTTTTTGCTACATAGAAGTCACTGAAGAGCCAAAAAAATTTTTTAATTTGTTTATTTTTCAATTGCCATTTAGATAAATTATATTAGTTTCAGGTATTAGATATTTATGTACCTTATGAATAATCACCCCAATAAGTCTAATACCCATCTGACATCATACATAGTTATTACAATATTATTGACTATATTTACTATCCTATACTATACATGCCATGACGATTTCTTTTTTCCCAGCTTTACTGAAGTATAATAGACAATTAGTTGCTCATATTTACATTGTACAATTTAATGCGATTTTTTCCAATTATAGTTGGCATATGATAATATATTAGTTTCAGTTGTACAACACAGTGATTAGAGATCTATATAACTAGTATCCTAGATCTATAAATCTAGTACCCCTCTTCCCCCTTACATATTTTTTACAACATTGTTGAATAGCCAAAAATTTAAATGAGATTTAAAATGTTTATTTACTTTATGACTCTTCTAAAAATCCCTCAACTATCCAATTATCATTTCATTTTTCAAGAAGGAATCCTGGATGGCCTTTCTGGATGCAAATGTAAATGCTATTGCCATAGTGGAATGTCCCATCTAAGGGGGGGAAAAAAGCAAAAAACAAAATATTCTGGGAGAAAACTGCCATGAACCCTTGGAAAGAAGTAAAATTACCTATGAGGGGAATATACAAAGGTAGGATAGTACAATATAATGAGCTTCCCGCTCTTATAAAATTATATTCTCTTACATGTATTGAAATTTCACAAGTTTATTCAATTTTAGAAGTAATACTTTAAAATATGGACCATTAAAAAATAGAATTTAACTTAAATTCTAAATACGAATTTTCATATAGGAAATGGCCATTATCAGGTTGTAAAGAAAACCAAATATACTTACGATTAAATTGTGTCACATATTTATCACCAACAGTAATATATTCCATTTCACTGAAGAGGCCAATCCTCTCCATATCAGTTTTCCCAATTTCTGCAGGCATGGTTGCTTCTTGCGGTGATGTTCTCTATAGAGGTAACTTCAAAAGGTTTCTTAAGACTACTTCTTTTATAGCTAAATCCTACTTTATGTTGAAAAATACAAGAAGGAAAGTTTAGGAAAATGGTGATTATTAAATTTCAGTCCTAATTATTTTCAGTCTATAAGTTAACATTCACTATAAAACGAGTCACAAATTATATAAGCAAGGAATCTACTGTGTGGGGCTGAGGGAAAATAATGAGATTCAAAATTATCACCATGAACCCTCCTCGACTCTCCAGGTGAAATATCCGCAAATTATGAAATATGTATGATAGCACTGTTGCCCTGCCATTCATCTGTAGTAAATGATAAAATTATCACTGCATTGTGTGGTATACTATGTAAACAACATCTTTTGAGTTCAAGTTAGATTTAAAAATCATAAATACATAAGGTAGACCTTTTCAGTTTAGATCAAATGACTTAAACATACCGCATTGTCTCTCATATTGAAAATTATAACTTAGCTTTTCAGAAGGCACAACACATATAGGTATTACCCTATAGTAGCTGAGTTGTTTCAAGTTTAATGGACGGAGAGAACAATTGTCTAGGCAAGATAAAAACAAAGAAAAACAAAACAAACACAAATCCACAATGAATTCAAAGTATTTGTTAAAGGTAGACTACAACTGTGAGTTTTCTTTTGAAATATCATATTAGACATGCAAGTATTTATTCAGATATTTTTTCAATTAGACATGTTCTAAAAAGGAAGACCAAAAAGCTAAGACTACTTGTTTCCATTTCATCATCATATTTTTAAAGCACCAATTAGATCTAGGCAATGGGCATACATTAGTGAATAGATCAAACACTGGGTTTATGCCTTGAATTTCCAGCAAGCTGTTTCAATGACACTAAACTTGCATATTGGGAAGTGTCGACTCATTTGAACATAAATCTTTGCTAATGTTTAATAATATCAAAGGAACAAGTGAACATTCCGCTTAAACTAAAGCATAAGAAAATACAACTCCTTCCTTCTATTCCACCTCTTCCTTTGATCAAGTATGCTTTAAAACTAGACGTCACTTAGGCTGCACAACTTGGATTCGCCTTGTATTTCAAAGCTCTATCCCTACTGCCCAACTGCAAAGCCTTCGTGTGCTGCTACAGGGGCTCCTAAGACCACTATCACCCTCATTTGTCATCATGCCCCACCCCCACACTCCCTGGCACCTGGGTTCCACTTGTCTTGTTTGAGTTCTCAGGTCAGGCTCTACAGCCACAGGACCATGGCACATGCTGTTTCATTTTAGGAATGTACTGTGCCAACCCTTTTCCTTCTCCCCAATTAACACTGAGCCTTCGCATTATTTAGCTCATGCATCACTTTTTTTAATTCCCTCTATCAGAGCCGCATGTACTTTTCTCTTCAAACCCCCACCATGGTTATCTAGCGGGTTGTCATTTTACATCCACCGTGTAGAGATCCTTTAATTAACAGCTGTTTTCCCCCACTGAACTGTTGGCTCTACAAAGGTAGGAACCGTGGTATGAGCTTGGATTTTTATCACCGTATTCCCAGTGTCTGCGCAGCGCCTGGCACACAGCAATGCGAGCCTCAGAGTGAGGGAAGGAGTGAGGGAAGGCAAGAAGTTCTTGCCTTGAATTTTTCCACTACTTAACTCTTCTTGAGCAATATTTACAAAATCATTCATTCATTTATTTAGCAGGTACTTTGCAAAACCCTCCTCTGGGTAAAGCTCGCTGGTAGAAGCTAAGAAAAATGTGATTTTAAAAGGCATACGAGCTACCCCTAGAGAGCTTACACTCGGTAGACAAGAACATAATTAAGTAAAACACAAGTGGAACATGATGACTTCCCTTCGAAAGGTATGAATAAAGTGCCGTGGGGGTGCGCAAGAGGGGCAGAAAACTTCTGGCTTAGGTGAGGAGGAAAAGATTTCCCATTATGGAAACGGAAGCTGGAAGTAGGTAGGAATCTAAAGGGCAACACTCGGGGGCCGCGAGGACCAAGTCACCTCTCCGAAGAGCACCCAATCCGACAACTGAGATCAGACCATCTCAGCTACAGTCCGGGTTTACCCAGCTGCAAGAACAAAGAGGTCTGCAAGTCACCCTCGCGCAAACGCTTCCCCCGCGGGACCTTGCTGCGAAGAGCCGTCACGCGTTCAGCACGCTGTTTGTGTTTATTATGGCGTGTTGCCTCGGTTACGGGAGTGTCCATTCCAAGTGCGCTAGGGGAAGAAGTGTGAAGAGCTCGAATCTGCTTCGAGGAACACACAGACTTTCGAGCTTAGGATAAGAATATTTCATTATCCAACCACGAGGAACTGCAGCGTGGTACGCCCCATGACGTACTGCCGGGCATGTTGGGAGTTGTAGTCGGCCTTCCCGGGCCCCGCCCCTCTGTGACGTCACTTCCAGGCTAGCCTCCTGGGCCCTGGGCGGATGTCTGCGCCCCTGTCAGCGCCACGCAGAAGACATGGTGAGTACCTCTGCTCGCTACTGACCCCATCGTTTCCCCTCGGACTTCGGTAGCCGCCACGAGTACGGCTTCACAGCCTTTGAAAGGAGCTGGTCCTGCCCGGGCTCACGATGGCAGCTGTGAACCCCGTGGTCTGAGTCGCCCTCTTGGCCTCCTCGCTAGGGCTGGAGGGACGTGCCCGGCACAACCTTGAATGTCCCCAGCTCAGCTGCGTATTGACGCAGGCTTCCTGCACCTTATGAATGTGTATTGAGAAGAAGGGATTGATTATTCAGCGTTTTTGAAGGTTTTGAAGAAGGATTGGACCTGGGAAAGATAGGAATAACTTGCTACAGATACTCGATACCTTTAGTTCCCGTGTGTCACACTTTTGGTTTCCTTTCTAATTGCTCAGCCAGGTCCTCCAATCCCTATCCTACGTGCGGTGGTGTTCATCAGGGATACTTTTCTTTACATCCTGTGGTTCCTCCTAAATTTGTATCCCCAGCTCAGACATGGATTCTGAGCTCCAGATCCACATATCTACTGACTGTACCTCCACTTGGGTAGATCATATGTATTTCAACCCAGCAAGTTCAAAACACTCGTCATTTCCACCTCCCCTGGTCCCACACCTGCCCTCCAGTGATCTCAACCTCAGTTAATTGTGCCACCACCCACCCTGTTGTGCATCCAAAAAACCTGGAAATCATCTTTGACAACCCTCTTCCCAACTCCAAAACGTCTGATCAGTAATCAAGTTCTATGGATTCTAACAAATGGCTCTAAATTGTCGCTCTCTGAACTCTTACCATCCGGTCCTTTCAACTATCAGATCTAACCGTCTGCCAGAATCTCTTACATGGTCTTTTAAGCAGGCCTTCCCCAATCTGTGCCCTTGCCTGGAATGGGCTCTCCCACCTCCACCTCATCTTTCTCCTTTGGAATTGTTCATACTCATACCTACCAACCCTTCTGATCTCAGCTTAAATATTATTTCTTCAGAAGTCTAGGGAGAGTCTAGTGCTCTCACGTATGACCTTTTATTGAATCATCACAATAACCATATAAGTGGTATATTTTATCATTAAATATTTTTTATTCAAATGTGTGTATAGTATTTTGTATGGTAGTATTCTGTATTTAATCAAGTTATTAAGCGCTATTTAGGTGTTTTTATTTATTTGATATGATGAACAAGAGTATGATAAGTGGACAACATTAAAGCTAAATTTGTCTTGAACTTTCCTGATTATTTCCTTAGAATAAATTCCTAGAAGCAGAATAGCACAAAGATTGTGACCTTTCAACAGATATATGGAATAAATAAAATCAATCACCTTAAAAAACGTAACAAGGGATTTGTAAATTAGAAAAACAGTAATAGTAACTACTTCATAATCTTCTGAGGATCAGAGTCATTTTAACACAATGACTTTTACATTTTAACAGTTTAGTAAATATTAGTAATTATTTACTTCCGAATATGGTCTTTCTCTATGGTGTGTTTCCTCAGCCTGTTTGAGACACATTTTGAGAATCTAATGAAATCTTTGAAACCTCTTTCCAGAGGTTCACTTCCTACTCCACCTACCCTCAACAAAATGATACATTTTATTTGTCATATGTCATCAACTACCTGAAACTCAGCATTTGGACCCAAATTAAGAACTGCTGATAGATTCAATTTTACAAGTGCTGTTTTCCATTTATAAGTTGCAGACATTTTTCTATGTTGTTAAATATTCTTGTAAAGCATGATTTTTTATGGCTGTATAATAGTCATAATTATTTAAGCCATCTCCTATTGTTGACATTTAGGTTAACATCTTTATATACACCTGAATCTTTGTGTTTTGCAGATTTCCTTAGACTAAATTCCTGAATGCAGAATCACTACTCCAAGAATGTGAATATAAGTCTTTGATTCATATTGCCACATTGCCCTATGAAGAATTCTACAGTTCATACTCCCACCATTAGTGATATATTCATTTCTTGTTATCATCTTGACCACCGGATAGATTCAGTATTTTCATCCCATTCTTAAACTAGATTTTTATCATCGATGTTTTCATGTCATTGTAAAACCCATTGTTAAAACTATAATTTAGAAATATTGCCTTACAGCAATGGTCCTCAGCTTTTTCCCATTAGAATCACTGGCACGGAGGAGCTTTTAAGTTTCCCTGTCCCTAGACCCTCCTCAGACCAATTAATCAGAAGCTCTAAGGGTGCAGCCCAGGTATCAGTATTTTAAGTTCCTCAGGTGATTTCAGTGTTGAACAAAAGTTGAGAACCCCTGATTTAGAATTTAGGGTGTTTCATTTTGTTTTTCTCTGTAAAACAAAATCAACTCATGAAATAATTTGAAAAGTCCACATTAATTAACACTTTAACCTAAATTCAGTTTGATTCGAATTTATATGAGGATGAATTTGTTTTGTTTTACAATGGAATTTTTTGTTTTATTTGTCATAGGTAACTTCGGAAACGATGGATATACTCTTCCGAATAAGAGGAGGCCTTGATCTAGCTTTTCAGCTAGCTACTAATAATGGTGGGTCTGCTAAAAAACTGTCCTTTTTGATTATAAAGTTGAACTTTGATTATAAAGATGAACTATATTGAGATTCTCACCAGTTTGCAAATGAAACTGAGAGAGAAGTAGGATAAATAAATTGTCTAAGATCATACAGTTAGTAAGTTATTTAAATTAGATTTAAACTTAGACACTGTGCTCCAGCACCACCACTAGCCTAGGGGCTCTTCTGTGAAAATTAGAAAGAAGATGTTAGAAGTAGATGAATCTTGAAAATTTTATGCTGAGTGAAGGTAGCCAGACACAAAAGGCCACTTAATGTGTGATTCCATTTATATGAAGGTCCAGAATAGGCAAATCTATAGAAACAAAAAGCAGATAAGTTGCTGCCCTCTGTAAGTGTAGAAGGAATGGGGAATGGCTGCTAATAAATACAGGATTTCTTTTGGGGTGATGAAAATGTTCTCGAATAGGTGATCATTGTGAAATCCCGTGAATATACTAAAAACAGCTTTACATGTTAAAAAATGAATTTTGTGGTCTGGATTTTATCTCATTTTTTATTAAAAAGGCAAGAAAGTTTTTTTATGATCATTGAATCTGGGGAATGGATACTTTTGCTTTTGCGTGTTTGGAAGCATTCAGGTTGAAAAGTTTTAAATTTTTCTCATGAACTTCTTTTTATATTCTTTTAATTTAGAAATTTTTATCAAAAAAGCACTAAAACATGTGCTGAGTGACCTGTCAACCAAACTTTCTTCAAATGCACTGGTGTTCAGAATTCGCCACAGTTCAGTATATATATGGCCTAACAGTGACATAAACAGCATTCCAGGAGAACTGACTGATAGTTCCGCTTGTAAGAGCATCATGCGCTTTATTCAGTGAGTATGTCTGAAGATTGCTAAAAATATTTTCAGAACATCTTTCATGTTATAAACATCTTTGTGTATTAAAAATTTAGATTTGAACAGGAAGAAGACACAAAACAAAAATTCATGAGAAAGAAAGACAAAAAGTTATCAGACACGGTAAGTGAATCACCTGTCCTTTTAGTGGTAAAAATTTTAAGTCCTTGAATTTGGAATTGAATGAGATTTTAGGGAGTATTTAATCCATCTCTTAGTTTTTTACAGAGCAGGTTATTGAGGTCCGGAAAGATAAGTGATGTGCAGAAGCTATATCTCTGTTTTACATATTTAGACTTCTGTCCCATTATAATACTTATCTTAAAATTTTTTGAATACTTTCTTTGTTCCCACAAAAATAAAACAACTCAAGTACATTTACACAAAGTATTTAAAAAATAAATAGAAAGGAATCATTCTGAAACATGACAGTGACACATTATGCTGTGTGAGATAGTAAATAATAAATGATTTACTTTTCTTCACACTGTTCTTGGTTCTTTTGATTGTTGAACCATTATGAGTACCTTCCTGCCATGTGCCACAAACTTTGCCAGACATTGTAGATAAAAAATGGAGCTACTTCTTCAAGGCAGGAAGTTGTATGAAATTAATTTACTTTAGTGTTTTTCCAGGTTGGTAGGGGAAGATAGCATGGATGCAAGGTTGGAGAGGTGGGCAGGGGACACTTCAGAAAAAGCTCAAATAAACCAGTAGCTATGGTAGCTATGATAATAGAAGAGAAAGGAAACAGATATTAAAGAGATAAAATGGATTACACTTGGAAACTAATTGGATATGAGATGACCAGTTTCTTGCTTGGATAAAAAGGGAAGTTGGCGAAGACATGAGGTCAGTTTGGCACATGAGCTGTTAGTTTTACCAATTTGGAGTATACACAGAAATTGTGGGCTATAAATAATTATTTGAGAATTACTAGTAGGTAGAGCTTGACATTTTGAGGAGTACAAGTCAGTTATTTTGTAGAAAGTTCTTCAGTTTGGGTTCGTTATATTCTTCCTCGTGATTAGATTCAGGTTGTGCACTGTTGGTGGGAATACCAGAGAAGTAATGTTATGTCCTTCTCCGCACATAACATTGCAGAGGCATATGCTCTCAGTTTGTTCCTAGTATAGGTGACATTAACTTTGATCACTTAATGAATGTGGTATCTTCCACTTTTCTTTACTGTAAGGGTACTATTTTTTCCCCTTATAAT